ACAAGGCAGGGTGGTAAAACTGCCAAGGCGGGGCGTCAGTATGGAAGCCAAGGAAGATGCAGTGGAGAGTACAAAGAGAGAGCTTGCTCGTGGTGATATCGAGGACAAGGGAGAGCGCACCCCAGACCCAAAATGCCGACGCATCACCAACCTCCCCTGTCCAATGTAGTGTGGGCAAGGTCTCCGGCGCAAAGACACGGGGCCAGAGGTTGAGCTGATGCGCAACGTATCAGACCGCAAACGGCCACAGAAAAGCAGCCGCATGGATCATGGAGGTACGAGCAACCTCCATGATTAAGCCAATACGACGCTCTGCAATCCCATTCTGCCGCGGAGAGGCTGAAACCGTGAACAACTGCGCGATGCCCTCGTCTCGATAGAACTCTGCAAGGAGGCCGGAAGAAAACTCAGTGCCCCTGTCAGAGTGCAGACGCAGGACTGGAAGGTCCCGCCGAAACCGCTCGCGCAGCTAGCGACGAGTAGCGCCAATCCAGGAGATCAAAACACTGTGGAAGTCCACCTTGCTCCGCAAGGGGAAGAGCGTGGTGTAGCGCGTTTAGTCGTCAACAACCCGCGGAAAGTAGCGTTCCTGGTCCGTGTGGATGGGGTCCGGGCCCCATACGTCTATGTGGAGAGTCTACAGAGGAGCAGTGGTTGGAGGAAATGAGGAGGAGTAAGGAGCGGTGTGCTGCCGCCCCTCAACGCAGGGAAGGCACGGCGGGCAAGGCGAATGAGGGAAGGGGGTCAGGGACCTGGGAAGGCCAGAGACAAGGAGACGGGAGTGCATGCTGGGTAGACGCGGCAGAGAGGGGTGGCCGAGTTGGTGGTGCCAGAGGAGAGTCTGGTGGGAGAGTAGCCGACATGAGCACGATGCAGCTAACTGACCAGACGGAAACACCTGACTCGATGTAATCACCGGACCTAACGTAATCACCTGTGCAGACGCAGTGGTCAGGGTGTGCAGACTGCCCAGGCTGTCAAGTGAACGTGGCGAGGTGCTCACCAGTGTGGGAGTCTGTACAGGTTGCCACTCGCTCACCCCCAGGAGTAGTTACAGTGACAAATAGGTCCTGGAGGACAGCGTTACTCACCAAGTTCGTAGTGAACGAGGGGAGGTGGAGACCTGCAAGCGAGCCAGAAGGGGCTGCCGGACACGGGAGAACGGTGGAGGCACGGGCTACGTCTAGGCCCCCAGAGGGGTAAGCCAGACTGACCGAGACAGGTGCAATGAGCGGTGTGACTGTGGTGCAATCGCAGAAGAAGCAGCGAGTCACCCTCAAGCGTGAAGGTGTGTAAAGCCTCCACAGGAGGTGCACCTGTGCTACTAGGCTCGCAGGCACCTAGACTAGCAGCCTCTGCACTACCAGGGACGCGCCGCCGAGAAAACCACTCGCGAAGCTGTTGCACTGAGAGGGTCTCCTCCTAACTCTACTATCGCTGCTGTCCAGTACCTCCAGTACCAGTACTAGTACCCAAACCAGAGCGGCCTGGCTAAATAACCCACTCACGAAGCTGCTACGGCGAGAGCGTCTCAAGTCGACGGGACTGCCGCCGCTGTCCAGTATCACCAGCACCTATGAAATCCCAAGCTTTAGCACCAAGCGGCCTCGCCGAATAGCCCACTCGCGAAGCTGCTGCGGCGATAAAGTCTTTGGCTGATGTTGCTGCTGCTGTTTACCCCCAGACGCTGCTACAACCGTGATAGTGGCCATGGCAAGCAGTGGCAGTTAGTAGCAGCGGCACACGGGCGTCAGTGGCGACTACTGTAGCTGTGGCGGTAGTTGCTGTAGTGGCAGGTCAGCTAGGCAGGGCGGGTCAGCCGGGCGGCTCGGCACAGTTTGGGCAGGGCTGCGCGACTCGGGCAGGGGCGGGGCACAGCAGCGAGCAGGGCGCGCAGTGCACGGGTAGGGCAGCGGCCAGGGCACCGCGCGGGCAAGGCGCACATTGCGCGTGGGCGGCGCCAGCAGCGGGCAGACAGCATGCGGCCTGCGGGACAAGGCAGCGCACGAACTGCTGGGCGTGCGGGTAGTAGGGCAACGCGGGCAGCAGGGCGACGCGGGCAGCAGGGCGTGCGGGCTGCAGGGTGACGCGGGCAGCAGGTCGACGAGCTGCAGGGCGTCGCGGGCAGCAGGGCGGCGCGGGTTGCAGGGCGACGCGAGCAGCAGGGCGACGTGGGCAGCAGGGCGTGCGGGCCGCAGGGCGACACGGGCAGCAGGGCGACGCGGGCTGCATGGCAGGGCAGCACGTGGGCTGCAAGGCAATGCAGCGCGCGAGCTGTAGGGTTGCGCGGGCAAGGCAATGTGCGGCTGCAGAGCTGCGCGGGCGGGGCAGTGCGCGGGCTGTAGGGCAGGGTAGCGCTTGGGCAGCAGGGCGGCGTGCGGGTAGGGCGGGGCAAAAAACGTGTAGTTCCTACGGTTGGTGGGCCCTAAAAGAGCGGTCCTACAGACGAACCAGCTCTGAAACCATGTCAGAATCACAAGGCATGAATGATTGAATTAAGCAGGATGATGAGTATAAGTATGAAACCCTAAAGTGCTGTACTTACTAGAGTATGCCCCACTATAGCCTAGAGACATACAAACATAATTTGACACCAACTGCAAAAGTACTGCTTTGTGCGCCTCGAACAACAGGACGATACGTTCGGTCTCTAGCACTTTTTCTGCGGTCGTTAGCCCTCTTCCTTGCAACATCTATTCTCAATTGAGACAGTAACGCCTTAATATGTGAAACGTGAATATGCATGCATCTCAACCACATGGTAAACCAATTACAAGCCCCTCACCCATAGAATGACTAGCTTTCACCGCTCGTACATTTCCCTGTCGAACTCGATGGATCTCAGACGGCTCAAGCAGTCCTCAAGTCAGATGCATGAGGAGGAAAGTTGTGGCTAACCTCACAATAAGTCACCGCCCTTTTTGCGGCTGCTCCCCTCTTGTTGTTGTAACTGCCTCACCAATTGCTACTTCTGACTTATCATCCTACCCTTCCTCATCCGATACTCATGCCACTTTGTTGTAAGAAATGCAAATGTTTTTTTCTCTAGGTCTATCAAGTCATCGTTGTAATACGCGTCCCTCATTCCAGCTACGGGAAACCAAACACTACTTGGTATGCCAACCCTTGAGAGCCATTACTTTGGGCTTCCAAGGAAAAGCAAACACCCATTGTAGCCCTACCCATGTCCCCATACGCCAAATTGTTGCTGCAGATTTCACTATCTTGTACTGGTCCCAACTTTCCTTCCTTCCACATTCCCTCTAATACTGCTTCGTACTGTAGTGCTAGCTCCAAGTTTGGCTTCACCATCTGATGTTAGTGCTCTCCCAAAGTGCATTGCCTCTTTAATACTTCATGATCCACTTTCCAGCCTCCTCCTTCCTCTCTACCGCCAAGTAATTCGACCTCATTTTTTGCCACAAGCCGGATTTCCAACCACACACTTCCCCTCATTCATATCCAAACAAATAACGTTTAAAATTGTGCAGTAATTATTACGACCCCCTCTTGTATGCCGCGACACTGTCTGCAAGTGCAGGGATAGCATTTCAGTCCGCTAACCAACTGGTACAAAATGGCATGTTTCCTTGGTGGGTCAGCGCAACCATACTCCACCAGGTTGACACCTGTAGCCCTTGGGAAGATCACTTCGGGCCATTCCAGTATCCACTTCCAGTATCCTTTCATTGGGAGGGCCCAACACAAGGGAAGAGGAAGTTGCCAACAACAGGGATCGAACCCCAGTCCTCCACACTCACCGCACCATGTGGAAAATCATTCCTGTCCGCCAACCAACTAAGATAAAAGAGCATGTTTCCTTGGTGAGTCAGCGCACCCATACCCCCCAAGAACGACACCTGTAGCCCTTGGGGAGACCACTTCGGGTCATTCTAGTGTCCACTTCCAATAGCAAGAACACATATAAATGCTCTTGATCATCCATCGTTTAGAGCGCAACCAAGCTCGATAATTTTGCCTAAGTCACGTGTCAGATGATTATATTACTGATGCATATATTTAGGCTGTAGTGGGGTAGCCCATAGGGGGTACAACCCAATTAGGGTTGGTACTTGTACTTGTTTCATTTCATAGTGCACTCATTCCTCACCTCTATCTCAACATGGTATCGAGCAGGTTCCCTAGTGGGAACTGTTCCTAGGGCCCACCTACTATTCCGTCCTGCCCGGAGCGCGCTCTGCCCTAGCCCGAGTCGCGCTGGGCCTTTTTTTTTCCTTTGGCGGCCCGATCGCGTCGAGCCGCCCGCGAATTTTTGACGCGCCACCTACGCGGCCTCGTCGCGCCGCCCCTAGACGGCCGCGCCACGTCGCGCGTGCCGCCCTCCAGTCCCGCGCCGCCCCCCTCTGACCCTCGCGACGCCGGCGCCGTCTCAGACGGCCCCGCGATCGCCTGCGACGGCCCCACCGTCCCCTCTACCGGCCCCTCCGCTGCGCTTGACGGCCCCGCTGTCCCCTCTACCGGCCCCGCCGCTGCTTCAGACGGCCCCGCCGCTGCACCTGACGGCCCCGCCGTCCCCTTTGACGGCCCCGCCGCTGCACCTAACGGCCCCGCCGTCCCCTCTGACGGCCCCGCCACTGCACCTACCGGCCCCGCCGCTACCCCTGACGGCCCCGCTGCTGCATCTGCAGGCCCCGCCGTCTCACCGGCCGGCCCCGCTGCTGTACCTGACGGCCCCGCCGCTTCACCTACCGGCCCCGCCACTACCCCTAACGGCCCCGCAGCTGCATCTCCCGGCCCCGCCGCCCCAGCAGCCGAGCCGCCCCAGCAGCCGAGCCGCCCCAGCAACCAAGCCGCCCCAGCAGCCGAGCCACCCCAGCAGCTGAGCTGCCCGAGCCGCCCCACCCGCCGAGCCGCCCGAGCCGCCCAGCAGCCGACCCGCCAAGCCGCCCGAGCCGCCCGAGCCGCCCGAGCCGCCTGCACTGCCTTGTCTGGTGAGCACTGAGCTTTACTCTGCGCACTGCCCTTACCCCACTGCTGTCATGGCTACCCCCAGTGTCCTCACCTTCGACGCTGAGGGCAGAGCCATCGACTTTGACGTGTGGGTAGACGACCTGCTGCTTTTCCTACAGTGCGACAGAGCTGACAGCCTCTCTCTCTTTGACCTCACTTCTGGTGCCTCTCCCGCCCCTGCTGCTACTGAGGATGCCACTGTTCGCTCACAGTGGGCCACACGCGATGCTGCTGCACGTCTTGCTGTGCGTCGCCACCTCCCTCCCTCTGAGCGTGCACACTTTGGGTCGTACAAGAGTGCTCAGACCTTGTACGACGCCGTTATTGCACGCTACTCCACCCCTGCCACTGCTGCACTGAGCCGCCTCATGCTACCGTACCTCTTTCCCGACCTTGCTTCTTTTGCCACAGTCGCCGACCTCATTACCCACCTGCGCACTAGTGACGCTCGCTTCCGCACTGCGCTTCCTGCTGAGTTCTGCGCCAAGAACCCCCCCCCCCCAGTACTTCACTCTCTACTACATTCTCACCCGCCTCCCTGACTCCGACGACTTACTCTCAGTCTGCCCCACCACTCTCACTGTTGACCTCCTCGAGAAGTCCCTCCTAGCAGCTGAGAAGAGCATTCTCGCTGTAGGGGCCTCTCGTGGTGACCCGCGCACCCCCATCTTTGAGGGGTGTTCCCCCTCCCCCCTCCTGCCCTCTGTCGCCTCTGCTGCTACGGCCGACCTAGTTGGTTTTGAGTCGGTCGGTGCGGCGTCTGCCCCCAGTGGGAGACGTCGCTCTAGCAAGGGCAAAGGGGGCAGGAGCGGTGGTGGAGGCGGCGGGGGCGGTGGGAGCGGCGGTGGAGGCAGCGGAGGAGGTGGGGGTGGTAGCGGGAGTGGTGTCGGGAGTGGAGGTGTCAGCGGCGGCAGTGGAGGCGGGGGTGGCAGCGGCGGTGGTGGTGGGAGTGGAGGCGGAGGCGGCGGTGGCGGCAGCGACGGTGGGAGTGGCGGTGGCAGCGGAGGTGGTGGCGGCGGCGGCGGAGGAGGCGGCGGAGGAGGTCGTGGCTCGTCGCAGAGGAGTGGCTCCGGTGGCGGTCAGCGCCAACAGCAGCGGCAGCAGCGTGGTCAGGAGACCCTCTCCCCGCAGCAGCTCCGTGAGTGGTACGCTGCACGTCAGAGGGGTGGGGGTACTGGTCCGTGCACCTACGTCTTGCGCACGGGCGACCGTGCGGGTGAGCCGTGTGGTGGTCCACACCCCGCCCAGCGCTGCTTCGGCCGCCTGACTGACGCTTGGCGCCGCCAGTTTCCTGACGCCTCTGAGATCCCTCGCTGGGACCAGCTGTCTAGGGTAGGGGTAGCTATCTTTGATCTTGACTTTGATGCTATTCTTGCTGCCATGTATGCTGTGACTATTAGTGAGGAGGGTGACTGTTACCGGTGTTTCCCGCCCGACCCGGGCATTGGTACTGCGGCTCTAGGTGCTGTCGAGGCTGCTGCTCCAGGTGCTGGTGAGGCTGTCGCTCTAGGTGCCAGTGAGTCTGTGTCCTCAGGTGCTGGTGAGTCTGCTCTCTCAGGTACTGCGTCGGCTCCGCCCTCTCTCACCTTCACTCTTGACTCAGGGGCGTCTCGCTCCTTCTTTCGAGACCGCACCACACTCACGCCGCTTAGTCGGCCAGTGGCGGTCTCCCTGGCGGACCCCTCTGGGGGTCCTATTCTGGCTCGCTACTCCACTGTCCTGCCGTGCCCTGCGGTCCCGTCTGGCGCCCTGTCCGGTCTCTACCTCCCCTCGTTCTCTACGAACTTGGTGGCGGGTGCTGACCTACAGGATGCAGGGGTCGACCAGTTCACCCCTGCACGCCGACGGGACACCCACTGCACGGACGCGGACACGGGTCGACACTTGACCACGTTCACACGTGGGCCGGGGTCGAGCCTGTACACACTCACTGTTCCGTCTCCTCCTCCTGCGTCTGGTCAGGTAGCTGCGTCGGGTCAGGTGTTTGCTGCAGCGTCCAGGTCTGGTCCTGAGTCTGCCCCCTGCTCGTGTCGCCTCCTGTCCCACGAGACCCTCCTGTGGCACCACAGGATGGGTCACCCCTCCCTGCCTCGTCTCCGGGGCATGGCCTCTCGCCTTCTTGTCTCTGGCCTTCCCCGGTCCCTCCCTCCCCTTCCTCCGGGGCCTGGCCCTCCCTGTGTCCCCTGTGTCGAGGGTCGACTGCGGGCTACCCCTCACTCCTCCCCGTTTCCTCCGACAGAGGCCCCGATGCAGACGCTTCACATGGACGTGTGGGGCCCAGCCCGCGTCCGTGGACAGGGTCACGAGCGCTACTTCCCGCTGGTGGTTGACGACTACTCGCGTTACACCACAGTCTTCCCCTTGCGCAGCAAGGGTGAGGTCACTGAGGTGTTGATCGACTGGATCCGCGCAGCTCGTCTCCAGCTCAGGCGGAGCTTCGGCTCGGACTTTCCTGTTTTGCGTCTGCACTCGGACAGAGGCGGAGAGTTCTCCTCCAGCCTTCTGCGAGCCTACTGTCAGGCACGAGGCATCCGCCAGACCTTCACGCTTCCGGACTCTCCACAGCAAAATGGGATTGCTGAGCGCCGCATCGGCATTGTCATGGACGTCGCCCGTACGTCCATGGTGCATGCGGCTGCCCCCCATTTTCTGTGGCCGTTTGCGGTTCGGTACGCCGCGCATCAGATCAACCTTCAGCCCAGGGTGTCCAGACCGGAGACCTCCCCAGCTTTACTGTGGACGGGGAAGGTTGGCGATGCGTCGGCGTTCCGTGTCTGGGGATCTCGGGCGTTTGTCCGCGACTTGTCTGCGGACAAGCTGTCCCCTCGTGCTGCTCCTTGCGTCTTCCTGGGTTTCCCCCCTGACGCACCTGGGTGGCAGTTTTACCACCCCACCTCTCGTCGTTTTCTGTCCTCCCAGGACGTCACGTTCGACGAGTCGGTTCCCTTCTACCGGCTCTTCCCCTACCGCACTCCGTCCCTCCCCCCCCCGCCCCTCTTCCTGGTCCCAGGTCCCCCCCCGGTAGACCCCCTCCCCCCTCAGGGTCCTGCCCCTTCAGGTGTGTCTCAGGTAGACGCGGTCGAGCCTGTCGAGGTCACTGGTGACTCTTGTGCTGCTGCGGGTGCGGAGCCTCGGGGTGCTGAGACTGGGGGTGCGAAGACTGGGGGTGCTGAGCCTGGGGGTGCTGAGACTGGGGGTGCTGAGCCTGGGGGTACTGAGCTTGGGGGTGCTGCGACTGGGGGTGCTGAGCCTGGGGGTGCTGAGACTGGGGGCACTGAGCCTGGGGGTGCTGAGCCTGGGGGTGCTGTGCCTGGGGGTGCTGAGCCTGGGGGTTCTGCGTCTGGGAGTGCTGCGCCTGCTGCTTCTGTTCCTGGTGGTTCTCCAGACCGTTCTTCGCGCCGCGAGCCGCTCTCTCCTCTAGAGCTACGTGAGTGGTTTGCCCGGCGCTGGAGGCGAGCTGCTGGAGCCGGGGGTACTGCGGGTGCTGGAGGTTCCGTTGCTGCCGAGGGAGCTGGTACCACGGGTCCTGGAGGTGCTCGTACTGAGGGTACTGGAGCTGCCGGGCCCGGGGGTGCCTCTGGAGCTGGAGCTGCTGCGGGTGCTGGCGCTGAGGCTACGACTGTCGGTCCTACTGCGGGTACTTCTGCAGCTGCTGGTGGTGCTGGAGTTGGAGCTGCTACTGGTGCTGGTGCTGCCTCTGGAGGTGTTGGTCCTGTCCCTGCTGTCTCTGGCGGTGCTGCGCGGCCTCGGCCGTACTTCGTTTCGCTCCTTCAGCAGGTTCTTGGTCTCCCGCCTTCCACTGGTCCTTCTCCTCCCGTAGAGTGTCCGCAGCCTATCCCGTCACGGTCACAGTTACAGCCCGCCTCTCCTCTGCCTTCTCCTTCTCCCTACGCTGGTCCTACTGGAGGTCTTGCTGAGCGTCGTGAGCCTGCGTCCCGCCCTGTGTCGCCAGTCCGAGCTGCTTGCACTAGTGGTCGCGCTTCGCGTCAGCGTCCTCCTCCTGTCCCTGGCACGCACCAGATGTCTCTGCGTCCGTCCACTGCTCCTCTGCGTGCCCCTTTGCCTTCTCCTCCTCAGTCTTCTCTTCCTACTCTTGCCGACCCGGAGTCGGACTCTCACCGTGCTGCCAGTCCTACTGTCACGCGTCTTCTTGCTACTCTTGTCACGGACCCTTCCTTTGAGTCCGCTGCTGCGTCTGCCCTAGTTGCTGAGCTGGTCGACTTTGCTGCTGCGTGTCGTCTGGACTACGCTGCCAGTCTTGTTGCTAAGTCTGCTGAGTCTGCGTCTGCTGCGCCTGCGTCTGCCTGTCCTCCGTCCGTCGGGGGTGACTGTGCTCTTGGCACGGACGTCCTTGAGGACAGGCAGGAGGAGTTCCAGTGCTTTGCCGTCGCTTTGCCCCATCTCGTGTCCATGCTTGTTGCCTCTGAGGGAGACCCGGATGCTCTAGACATCCCGACCCCACGCTCTTACGCAGAGGCGATGGCCGGTCCCTACTCCTCTCAGTGGCAGTCAGCCATGGACGCAGAGATGGCTTCCTGGAAGTCCACAGGCACCTACGTTGACGTTGTTCCCCCTCCTGGGGCGAACATTGTCAGTGGCATGTGGATCTTCAGGGTGAAGCGGCCGCCGGGTTCTCCGCCTGTCTTCAAGGCGCGCTACGTGGCTCGTGGCTTCAGTCAGCGACAGGGAGTTGACTTCTTTCAGACCTTCTCCCCGACCCCGAAGATGACCACTCTTCGGGTTCTGCTACACGTCGCTGCTCAGCGTGACTACGAGCTACACTCTCTTGACTTCAGGACTGCTTTCCTGCAGGGCCGCCTGCACGAGGAGATCTGGCTGCGCCGCCCTCCTGGCTTCACTGGGTCGTTCCCTCCTGGTACCCAGTGGAGCCTCCGGCGGCTAGTCTACGGTCTCCGCCAGGCGCCGCATGAGTGGCACGACACACTGAGGACTACACTTGCGGCTCTTGGGTTTGCTCCTTCTACTGCTGACCCGTCGCTGTTTCTGCGCACCGACACCTCGCTGCCGCCGCTCTACATCCTCGTGTACGTCGACGACTTGGTCTTTGCCACTGCGGACACTGCCGCACTCGCCCACGTGAATTCCGAGCTGCAGAAGAGACACACGTGCACAGACCTGGGTGAACTGACAAGCTATCTTGGCTTGCGGATCACCCGGGACAGAGCACGCCGCACCATTACCCTGACCCAGTCACACATGGTGCAGCAGGTCCTTCAGCGCTTCGGCTTCACGTACTCCTCGCCTCAGTCCACTCCTCTGCCTACGGGACACTCGCTCTCAGCTCTGCCTTCGGATGAGTCCGTAGAGTCGAGTGGTCCGTATCCAGAGCTTGTGGGCTGCCTCATGTACCTGATGACTTGCACTCGACCTGACCTCGCATACCCTCTCAGCATCTTAGCACGCTATGTTGCTCCCGGCCGTCACCGGAAGGAGCACATGGATGCAGCTAAGAGGGTGTTGCGCTACTTGTGCAGTACGTCGGGCATGGGGCTAATGCTTGGAGGGCGTGAGCGGCCTGTGCTCACTGGGCACTCAGACGCTTCTTGGGCTGACGACCAGGCTACTCAGAGGTTGTCTCAGGGTTACACCTTCAGTCTTGGCTCTGGCTCTGTCTCTTGGCGCTCTACTCGCTCTTCTTCGGTTCTCAGCTCCAGCTGTGAGGCTGAGATCTACGCCACGGCCATGGCTGCCCAGGAGCTTCGCTGGCTCACCTACCTGCTGACTGACCTTGGAGAGCGGCCTCGTTCTCCTCCAGTGCTGTACGTCGACAACAAGGCAACCATTGCCTTGTGTGAGGAGCACAGACTGGAGCACAGGACGAAGCACATTGCTCTGCGCTACTTCCTTGCTCGAGAGCTGCAGCAGCGTGGTCAACTTCGCCTGCGTTTCGTGGCCACTGAGGCCAACACTGCTGATGTGTTCACCAAGGCACTTCCGCCTCGTGACCATCAGCGCTTTTGCACTCTGCTAGGCCTTGTGCCCACTGGGCCTCACTTGCTTACCTCTTGACCTTGCTTGTACTGCTGCATATATATATCCTTGCTCTTGCTTGTTTAGCACTGTTATATATATATGCTCTGCTGCATGTGAACTGGCCTTGTGGCCTTGACCTTGTGCTCGGAATTTGTGTGGTATCCTTGAGATCCACCCTGAGCTTGCTTTGCTTTGCTTTGCTTTGCTTGACTGGTCTTGTGACCCCTTGCTCTCCCCCACTTTGCCTATGGGGGTGTGTCAGATGATTATATTACTGATGCATATATTTAGGCTGTAGTGGGGTAGCCCATAGGGGGTACAACCCAATTAGGGTTGGTACTTGTACTTGTTTCATTTCATAGTGCACTCATTCGTCACCTCTATCTCAACATCACGTACCAAACAAATCAGTTCATGCGGTACCAAATGCATGTATATCTCACAAAGATGTTCTAGCGTATCACTAAAATGCAAGAGCAAGCATATAACAGCATCTGATTTGCTTGCAAATTCTACCAAGTGACCAAATGTTGGGTACGAGGAGTCCGGGGTTTTGAATGCAAAATCGCAAAAAAAAAAAAAAATCTTGTTTTTTAATATCCATAACTGCTCAAAATTATTCTACAATAGTTGAGACCGACAAAAAATCACCCTATGTTTATTAGGGCTCGGCCTAAAAGTATACTGTGGATTTTTCTTTGTCATTATAGATACCCTATATTTTAATAAAGACATGGTAATTATATAACAGATGTAGACCCAGTTATATACATAGTTCGTGGAAATTTCATCGAATGTCTTCAATCCAATTGTTGGCATACACGGGTGTTTTCGGCTGGGCAATCATAATTTGCTAAGTGCAATTGATCAAACAGGTTGGGAGAATTGCAGAGATACATATAAATACATAAAAAATATATATATATGTATATATTTATGTATATTCTATACATATATGTATATATGTAAACATACATACATATATTTAGCAAGCACCTCCGGGACCCGTGGCACCAGCTCCCTCAGCAGCAACAGAACCTCCAGTACCCGTAGCACCTCCAGCTCCAACAGCTCGCCTCCAGCGCCGGGCAAACCACTCACGCAGCTCCTGTGGAGAGAGTGGTTCCCGGCGAGAAGAAGCACCCGGAGAACCGCCAGGCACAGCACCAACAGGCCTAGCTCCCTCAGGCTCCGCACCCCCAGGCTTAGCACCCCCAGGCGTAGCATCCCCAGGCTCAGCACCCCCAGTCGTAGCACCCTCAAGCTCAGCACCCCCAGGCGTAGCACCCACACGCTCAGCACCCCCAGAGTCAGCACCCCTAGGCTCAGCACCCTTAGCAGCACCAGAGTAACCAGCGACGTCGACAGGCTCAACAGCGTCTACCTGGGACACACCTGAAGGGGCAGGACCCTGAGGGGGGAGGGGGTCTACCGGGGGGGGACCTGGTACAAGGAAGAGCGGTGGCGGGGGGAGGGACGGAGTGCGGTAGGGGAAGAGACAGTAGTAGGGGACCGACTCGTCGAACGTGACGTCCTGGGAGGACAGAACACGGCGAGAGGTGGGGTGGTAGAACTGCCACCCTGGCGCGTCAGGGGGGAAACCCAGGAAGATGCAAGGAGCAGCACGAGGGGACAGCTTGTCCGCAGACAAGTCGCGGACAAACGCCCGAGATCCCCAGACACGGAACGCAGACGCATCGCCAACCTTCCCCGTCCACAGCAAAGCTGGGGAGATCTCCGGTCTGGACACCCTGGGCTGAAGGTTGATCTGATGCGCCGCGTACCGGACCGAAAACGCAGTAGGCCAGAGGAGAACTCTCCGCCTCTAGAACGCTGGGTTTCCCCCCTGACGCGCCTAGTGCACGGCAGTAGGCTCGCAGAAGGCCAGAGGAGAACTCTCCGCCTCTGTCAGAGTGCAGACGTAGAACAGGAAAGTCCGAGCCGAAGCTCCGCCTGAGCTGGAGACGAGCTGCGCGGATCCAGTCGATCAACACCTCAGTGACATCACCCTTGCTGCGCAAGGGGAAGACTGTGGTGTAACGCGAGTAGTCGTCAACCACCAGCAGGAAGTAGCGCTCGTGACCCTGTCCACGGACGCGGGCTGGGCCCCACACGTCCATGTGAAGCGTCTGCAGCGGGGCCTCAGTCGGAGGAAACTGGGAGGAGTGAGGGGTAGCCCGCTGCCGCCCCTCGACATAGGGGACGCAGGTAGGGCAAGGCCCCGGAGGAAGGGGAGGGAGGGACCGGGGAAGACCAGAGACAAGGACACGGGAGGCCATGCTTCGGAGACGAAGCAGGGAGGGGTGACCAAGGCGGTGGTGCCAGAGGAGAGTCTCGTGAGACAGGAGGCGACACGAGCAGGGGGCAGACTTGTCGAAATATTTTGTCATGTTTTATAATTGCTTGTAGTTGTAGTTAGTGTAGTTATGTAAACTTTTGTTGGTGGTGCACCTTATTGTGTTTCTATGCTATATGTACCCCTGAACCTATAGTGAAACTCACCTTTTCACAATTTTCCTCTCAACTCACTCGACTCTCACCCTAGGGGAAAACCCGCTCGATACTAAGTTAGGGCCTAGGCTACTAAGCCTAGGCCCCACGTTTCTACTCTCTATTACCTACTATCTTGACATGTTATCGGAGCTGTTTTCGTCCTGGCCTGTGGGCCCGCGTTACTCTTCCGCTGCTGAGATTTTCCGGTCGCGCGCCTACGGCGCGTGACGATTTTAGTTTTACCTTGTCCCGCCCACGGGCGTGTGACTCCTATCCTGCCCGTCGCGCGCCCCGTGGCACGCGACGGTGCCCTTTATCTGCCCATCGTACGCCCCGAGGCACACGATGGTGCCCTGCTCGTCGTGCGCCCCGAGGCACACGATCGGGCCCTTTTATCCTACCCGTCGTGCGCCCCGTGGCACTGGCCCGCGACGGGCCTCTCCGCCCCTGCACTCCCTGCTGCCGTCCCTGACCCATCTGCACCGACGCCTCTTCGCCGCTCTGCGGCTTTCTTCCTTCCCACCCCCCCCTTTTCTCTTGTCTCCCTGCAGCCGTGGGGAGGAGGGTATGGGGGTGGAGGGTGTTGGAGCGTGGGGTCAACTCTCTCCCTTTCCCTCCTCCTTCTTTCAGTCCCACCGCTGCAGGTGCCGCTGGGGGAGGAGGGTGTGAGGATGTGGGTGAGGGGGGGGGGGTGGTACCGGGGTGGCGGGGGTGAGGCAACAAGCAGCCGTCCCTCCACCTTTCCTCTTTCCCCCCTTTCTCTGCTGCTTCTGCAGCAGTGTTGGGGAGGGGAAGGAGGAGGGTGAGGAGATGGTAGGGGTACCTGCTGTTGCTGTAACTACACACCTACCTACAAGCATTATGGGGGCGTGTCGAAATATTTTGTCATGTTTTATAATTGCTTGTAGTTGTAGTTAGTGTAGTTATGTAAACTTTTGTTGGTGGTGCACCTTATTGTGTTTCTATGCTATATGTACCCCTGAACCTATAGTGAAACTCACCTTTTCACAATTTTCCTCTCAACTCACTCGACTCTCACCCTAGGGGAAAACCCGCTCGATACTAAGTTAGGGCCTAGGCTACTAAGCCTAGGCCCCACGTTTCTACTCTCTATTACCTACTATCTTGACAAGACTCAGGACCAGACCTGGACGCTGCAGCTAACACCGGACCCGACGCAGCTACCTGACCAGACGCAGGGACTAGAGGAGACGCATTGGTCAGTGTGTACAGGCTCGACCCCGGCCGACGTGTAAACGTGGCCAGGTGTCGGCCTGTCCGAGCGTCCATGCAGTGGGTCACCCGCTGACTAGCAGGAGTGAACTGGTGCACCCCCGCATCCTGTAGGTCAGCACCACTCACCAAGTTTGTAGAGAACGAGGGGAGGTAAAGACCAGACAGGGTGCCAGAGGGGGCCGCCGGACACGGGAGGACAGTGGAGAAGTGAGCAAGGACAGGACCCCCAGAGGGGTCTGCCAGGGAGACTGCAACTGGCCGACCAAGCGGTGTGAGTGTGGTGTGGTCTCGAAAGAAGGAGCGAGAAGCCCCCGAGTCAAGTGTGAAGGTGTGGGAGGCCGAAGCCGACGCAGTACCTGAGAGCGCAGACTCACCAGTACCTGAGGAAGCAGACGCACTAGCACCTTGAGCAGCAGCCTCGCTAGCACTAAGAGCAGCAGCCTCACCAGCACCTAGAGCAGCAGTCTCAATGCCCAGGCCGGGCGAGAAACACCGGTAACAGTCACCCTCCTCACTAATAGACACAGTATACATAGCAGCAAGAATAGCATCAAAGTCAAGGTCAAAGATAGCTACCCCTTCCCTAGACAGCTCGCCCCAGCGAGGGATCTCAGTGGCCTCAGGGAACTGGTGACGCCAAGCGTCTGTCAGGCTGCCAAAGCAGCGCTGGGTGGGGTGCGCACCCCCACACTGCTCACCCGCACGGTTGCCGGTGCGCACGACGTAGGTGCACGGACCAGTACCCCCACCCCGCTCGCGTGCAGCGTACCACTCACGGAGCTGCTGAGGGGAGGGGGTGTCACAAGCGCGTTGCTGCTGCTGCTGCTGCTGCTGCTGCTGCTGCTGCGGCTGGCGCGGACCACTACCGGAGCCGACCCTCTGCGCAGTGCCACCCCAACCAGCTCCACCTCCTCCGCCACCGCCTCCTCCACCGCCGCTACCTCCGCCACCTCCGCTCCCACCACCACCGCCGTCGCCGCCTCCGCCTCCACTGCCGCCACCGACACCTCCACCCCCACCGCCACCCCCACCGCCACCCCCACTCCCCCCGCCGCCTCCACCTCCGCCTCCACCGCCCCCGCTAGCTCCTCTAGCGCCCCTGCCCCCCTTGCCCTTGACAGAGCGGCGTCTCCCGCTAGGGGTAGACGCCGCACCGACCGACTCAGGCCCAACGAGGTCGGCCGCAGCAGCAGAGGTAACAGAGGGCAGAAGGGGGGAGGGGGAACACCCCTCAAATATGGGGGTGCGCGGGTCACCACGAGAGGCTCCTACAGCGACTATACTCTTCTTCGCTGCTAAGAGGGCCT